ACGCTTGAATCCGTCAACTGGAGCTTTGTTTTCTTTTCCTGCAACAACCTGTGAAAGAAAAACTACGAATTAACAAAAAGGGAATCAACACTAGCCTGATTCCAAACAGCATCTCTGTCCAGCCAACAAACTGTTTCAGATTCCTTCGCTGACACTGAATTATTTAAAGATTTTGTTGTCAGATTTGTGAGTAACAGTTCGTGCATTCAAGCTGTACCTTTTGTGTAGATGTCACAGGCTTCTTACTCACAGAGTTTCCAATTAGGTTTGACCTAAAGAGTGAAACATCAGTTACTTAATTTATCAAAACAGAAAATGAGCTTCAACAATTTCCAAATGATGACCAGATATCCTTTTAGAGTTGATCATTAACTGATTTTATTTTTGTTAAAGTCTGTGGTAAGAATTTATTTTCTCCCTATGTTTATCATTCATCTGTTCATACAACACAAAAAATAATTACAATTATTTGGTTTCATTGACTCATGGTCAGTGCACATAAAATCCATGAACCCAATGGACCTCTTTTTGTTTTATTAAATGGAATGTGGATTTGTAAATAAGTATATGCAAATATAGGTCAATAGGTTTATGATATATCTACATAGATAGATGCAATGTTCACTGCTTAGATGTTTTATTTATTTTTATACTTTAAAAATATGAAAGATTTGAGACTTTGTGGGGGATTTAAATCCCAGAAAAAAATCAGTCTGATTTGTTATATGGATTACCATATATACCCATAGGGGAGTGTTTCATTCTCACATTTTCTTGGGTGTTTGAAAAGAGGTTAACTGGGCTTTTTTTTTTGAGATTTTGATTCTAATGCAAGAGAAAACAATGATAACTAAATAAAAACTCATACACAAGGACAAAAACTATAATGAAATGTACTGACACTTGATAATATTTAATAACAAAATGAAAAGTGGAATGAGTTTGGAAGTGATCCAATCAGTCAAACAATGTTAGACATGTACAATTTGATCTGCCTCAACAAACAGGTTGGAGTGCCCATGCTCATGTTTCTCATCGAAAAAAAAAAAGAGCCAACGCCTGCAAGTAAGAGAGAGCATACTTACAGACACGTTTTGCATTTGATGTCAAGGACAATAAGACTCTTTTTAAACCATGTGGATCAACTCTCACCAGTAAAAACACGAGAAACTTTTTATGCTTTATATTTTATTCACCAGATTCAACTTTAGATTTAGTCTACTTTAATCTTATATTTAGACAACTAAAACTTAAATAATTTATGGCTAAAACTAAATGACGTTTTACTCAAAACAGCTTGACTAAAACGTAATCAAAATTAGCTCTCAAAATCAACACTGCATCCAAGAGGCCTCTTCAGTTCTAAACCTGGCACAGTCCCAGATAATAAATTCCTGGTGATGGGCTGTCTCCTTTCAACACCCAGCAACATTTCATAAAACATTTTTTTCCACATGCAGTTTTATTCTTACCTTGCTTCAGGTAGCTTCAGCTTTCCTTTTGCTGCCAGATATTCCATTAGCTTCTGCTTACGGATCTCTGTGACAGAAAACATACAGGAATTAAGCACCATCAAATAAAGATTTTTCACTATACTCACATGTAAACGCCAAACTTGAGATTCATGAAATGCCTGAACTGAAAATTCTAAAGGATTAGTACGAAGCAACATCATGTATTTGTTGTTTGTGTTGTTCTTGGTTTGGCTGTTCGCTATAGCAATATATACAATATATATACAAATACATGGGAATATTTTAGTTGAATGGGGAGGTGATAAAAAAAAGTTTTGTACTTTGATGCTATTCTGGGTCAAATCAATGAAAATGGTGGTTTTGGGGACGGTTGAAATTGTACATGTCATATATGTGTGTATATTTTAAGGGAGAGAGTTCAAGAGGGATCTTGAAATTGTAATACGAAACATATGTGTTCCCACCACATTTGTGCAGGTTCAAGCAGAGGCTGACACCTGCTGGTCTTTGAAGGATCATGGGAAAATCTCCAAACAGTGTAGGAGCATAGTAGTACTTCACTTCACTGTGCAATACCTTTTGTGCAATACTTTTGTTAATAGTCAACGGTGCAATAGACCTCAATACTTGAAATGTGCAATTCACTTGTATTTTTATTCCTATTTATCCCCTTCGTATATCTTATTTATATATGTGTGTGTGTGTTTAAATATATATATATATATATATATATATATATATATATATATATATATATATATATAATATTCTGTAACTGTAACTTCTGTCGGTGCTGTGCTTTTGGAAACCGAATTTCCCAGAGGAACCCACCCGAGGGATTGATAATGTTTTATCTTATCTTATCTCTCTTATCTTATCTAGTATAACTATATGTGGTTCACATACAGAACAGAGGTCATAGGTTTATAGAGATGTAAACACTCAGAACAAGCAGTTGGTCCTCAGTCCTCTTTATTTTCTCTAGGTGCTCTGGCTAAAAGACATTCATGTTAGGTTAATTGGTGATTCTAAATTTGCTGTGGATGTTAAAGTGCTTGAAAGTGTACAGATAAGTGGTGTATGAATGTAGAATTAAAGTGGGACTTAGAACCTCTTTGAGTGGTCAGTAAGACTAGAAATGTGCTTTATTAATGTGAGTACATTACATGTGGCGCTCCCTGTCTTTGCTCCTGCAAGAACAAGTACCCACAATGCGTGAAAATGAAACAATAAAAATGTTCCAATCCACTTATTCTGAGCTAACTGAGAATAAAACAGAAATCAAAAGTGGGATTGTGGGTCATAATAAGATTATAAAGGTGCCTAAGATGCCATTTCAGCGAGTGAGGGAAATCATTGTGAGTCCCACACATGTACGTCTTCGACCACTGTTTTGAATACAGGAAAGATAGCAATAGCACGTTTTGTGCTTGTTACACATACAGAAGTGAGAACAGGGTGATTGTATGGTTATAAATTGGTTATATAATAAATTCCAACAGGTCCAGAGTTTCCTTGCCATATTCACAGTCATGCATTAAATCATTTTGGCTGTTACACTATCCAGGATCTCAAACTTTATTTAAGAATCAATCTTCTATTTATTAATGTCAGACCAGTTATTTATACATTGTAAAAGAATATGTAGTTCGTAATTTGTTGTTGATACAATGAGGGAATTGACCGGGACAATGCTATGAAAGCATGAATATGAATTGTACGTGTTAAACAAAACAAACAAAGCAGACTCCTGCATGGACAGACCGCCATTAGGAAGGTCGGTTAAAATACTCAAAAGGCACCTCAGCTGCGGATAAAAGTCACTTTTTAGTGTTACCACCCACTTAACTCTATCCGTCTTCTTCCACCCTGAATTGCTAATACTAACTGTACTGTAAGTTAACGTTTCCTAAGTCGCAGCCATAACGTCTTGTTAACCGTTTAAACTTTGCTAGCTTTTATGGAACTTAATAAACTCGCTAACCTTTTCTGGAAAGCACTGGCTCGGATTCCCCTTCTTCCATTTCTAATAGAAATTGTTTTCGTCGTATAAGTTTGTAGAAATCAGCTAAACAAACGTGTTTCAAACACGTTAACGTCGCCCATAATAACTGCGCTCGCGCATCCGCTTTCGAAATTGCCGGGAGTTAACGCCTCCTTTCTCTGATTGGATGATTTGAAATTTCGGGGGAAAACAACACACTTGCGCAAAACTCCTGCGCTGATTAGAGCAGAAATCATCTGTGCAAATGAATGAAAGGCAGGCGCACCATTTCCTGGACATGATGTGTCAGCTGTGCTTTATTATATGACCAAACTTTGTATAAAAACTCTTCAAAATATCACCGTAGACGACATAAATAAGAAGGTACGATACAGCTCATTAAAGTGGAGACTGAAATGAGAGTTTTTTTTGGAAACATAGGTTTTATTTTAAATTACTTAGTGATCCAAATTTTAAAAATTAAAGGCAGGACAACATAATGGCGTCTGGGAAGACGTTGTATCCCTTATAAGTCAAAGTCATACATAATCAATTGTAGACAATTAGCAGTTAAGTCCAGGCACCAAACAAACAAAAACTAAGATACACTGATTTAGACAGACTAATTTGTTTGGTAAGAATGCCTTTAGTCCACTCTGCCACTTGGTGGCGACAATGTACCATTGAATTGTTTGCCCATCGCTAGTAAAATGAACAGGAAGAAGAAGGTAGGCTAAGATCATACATGATAAGATCAATTATTAAGGTAGACTACATAGAAAAAAAAATCTCAGAACAGGAAAAAAATGCTTAATTAAATACAGGATATATAGTAAAATTGAAGGAGCTCAGTAAGCAAAATGTCAAAGCAAAAACTGAATAAAATACCATTAAATGGCTCTAGTAAGTAACTCCAGTGAGTTTAGCCAGATGACTCAATGAATTGGATTAAGAAAAATAAGAAAATAAAAGTAGTTTACTAAATATATAAAATAAATGTCAGAAACCCAACAAATTTCTCACCGTAACAGAGTGAAACGTGTAGGAGACACTGCAATAAAGTGGCTTAATGTGCACACAATGTGTTGGATTGGGCAGAGTTTAAATAAACTCATATCAGAACAGAAATCTTGCATTGTAAAGATTTATTGCACAAGGTATCTGTGCTTGGATCAGCAGAGTCTGATAGATAAAGTGATCTGCCTGTCCAATAAGTTGGGCAGAAAGTGATCAGGGTTATGATGGTTAATGTCTGTTTAGTTGCCAATCACAGAACCGGCTGTACTGATCAGTGTGTAGCCTGTCGGTGTCATCGGCTCTATTCTGACTCGGGGTTTATTACAGAACACCGCGTTGCACGGAGCTGAGGAACAGTGGTTGATTTCTGACTATTTTCACAAATAACATTTTGTGAACTTTGCTGTATGTTGTGGTGAGAGACTGTTATTGTCTGTTATTTATCCCTAGTTGAGTGGATTACCAGATATTTAAAGAATATATCAGCCACAAATATAAATTGGGAATAAAAAATTTATTTCAGATTGTTAGATCATTTAAATACTTGTTTGTAAAAACAAACAACCAAACAAATAATTAACATCTTGCAATAGCATAAATAGATGAATAAATACATATATAAAAGCATCAACAGTATGTTAAATTATTGATTAATAACTACACACCAGATGCTCAGAGAGCACAATGATGCTACCTTGTGATGTAACTTTACATCATTAATCATTCCAATTTATGTACCTAGCACATACTTTAAGAAGGTCAAACTGGAGCGCAAATAGAGCTCCAAAATTCATCTTGGGAATCCTTAATGGGTTTTAACTCTGGCGCTGGATGTTGAAGCTTCTGTAGCGTGGGGCAGTCTCCTGACACACTTCCACCACCTGGTCGTCGTCCTGCGCTGTGCTGATGTACCAGTTGGGGCAGCGGACAGACATGAGAGTGCTGATGCTGAGCCCAGTGTCGCGTTTATAGAAGAGAAATCGCACCATGTCGCTTTCAGCGCTTATCCTTGTCAGACTGTTTTTATCCGTCACCTCCTGAGAAGAGCAAACATCCATGTCAGAGAGTTTCAGTCAACAAAATTAGGCCTGATATCAAATATTAATTCACCTATATGTGTGCAGTGTCTTATAGATTATAACAAATGGTGTGCTTTTCATGTGAGATTCCTGAAAGAAGTTTACCTCCAGGTGGAGGGTTGGCTTGTCGTCATCCTCGTGACAAGACAGATAGAGGTTTGTGCCTTTGATGCCCAGAGCGACAGGCCTGGTCTCAGCGATGGGTGTAGGGTGCGCGTAGGTCGACATGTTCAGGTGCACTGTGGAGAGAGTGATGGATACAGGGTCATTTTAATAAATCATGGCAGCGTACGTAAGCAGGAAAATGTTAGAGGCACAATTGAATCAATTTAATAAATTCAAGCTACCTATCCTTTCTACTTTATGGCATTTTAGTTCTTTTCTACTTCATGTTTCTAACAACATGGATGATGATTGAATATTTTTAATGATTTTCAACTATTTAAACGTCTAAGTGTCACATGTAGTTACCTTTGCGGTCATCACTGCCTCCCTGCAGCATCACTGCATGGAGCTCCATGCTGCTTTGGACCAGAACCAAGCTCCTCTTTTGGCTGTCAGTCACAGTGCACTCAATCTCATCCCTGCTGGTGAACTGAGGTGGTGCACCTGTCCTCTCGATCACACTATGCTCTGGGACAAAAACAGACATGCATGGTTGAATATGGTGTTAAACTAGATTTCTGTCTACTTATGACTAGGATGGTAAAATGGAAAGATACACTATTTGTGTATTAATCTAAAGAGAATTCAAAATAGCTAAACCTAATTCATATTTTATAGAAGAGATAATGGCTCATTATGAGTTTTTCCAGTATTAAACTTGTGATTACCTTCCACAATGCTCTCCAGCATGATGGAAAGCAGGTTTTCATCCTGGAAGTCTGTGCTCAGCACTGGCTCTGAATTGCTGGTCTTTAACCTCTCCATGGCAATGATGAGGTTGACCACACTCTTCATTGTCACTGGATGATGGGAAACTTCCAAGTCCAGTCCCTTGGGCATCTTGAGGCTCCATTCCTCAGCCATGTAGCTCATTTTGAAGTCCATCTTTTACTGAGTTAAGATCTGCTAAAGCACAGAAAATAATTTGTATTATCCTCACAGCTGGATTTTCAGCAGAACTTCTACTCATCTTATACTTTCTTTATTTTGTTTCTGTTACTATTTACATTTTTATAGCATTTTTAAAAAATTGCTCTCTACTGTTACAAAGCAAGGATCTTCTTTGCTCAAGATGAACACTGTCAAAAAACCAAACGAACATTGTAAGTGAGCTTACCTGTTGAAATTTGTAGATCAGAAGCTGTTTCAATGTGCTGTGTTCACTGTTGTTCTGTCAGTGTTGTTCTGCCCGACTGTGCTGTCTGGCAGGGTTTTTAAATCCCCGCATCAGGGAACTTTCGTATTGCATACAACACATACGTCATTATGATGCAATAGTGGAGTTGTACAGGTTGTCGGCGGTGAAGCAACAGCTTGAAGCATCTGCACAGAAGAGTCATAAGTAAAGGATAAATAGACTGGCAATTATAAAGTACCTCTATATTCATTTTAGGTATTAAAAGCACTTTCACTCGATCACACAGCAGTACTCCATCAAACGTTCACCCGAATGCCTGTGTAGGTTTGATGAATATCCAGGACATGATAGTCTAAGTAAGTAAGTAAGCAACTAGCCTTGTTTAAGGTTTGTGAAGCACTTTCACCTCTCATCCCAGAGGCTTTCTCAGTTCTAAAAACCAACTGTTGAAGAGTCCCAGGTATTTAAACCCTAGTGGGGTTTTCCATGCATTTATTGAGTGGTGGTCCGAACACGCTTCGCTGCATTGCATGCGATGGATGAGAGGAGTAACAAGTCACTGCTCTGTGAGCATTAAGTGTCTCTTGATTTCTCAGTCAGATTCATACATGAGCAGCCATCATTCCCAGATCATCAAAACAACTGCGCTTTAAGGTAAATGTTGTTGTGATTTTTGCTCTATAGATAAAATTTAACGGAATTGACATGTCCATTGTTATATACAGACTATCTACTATTAAAATAGAGCAATGACCGACAGCACCATGACACAGGACTAAAAATTGCCTCATCTTTGAGAAATAACAAAAAATTCAAGAAAGCAGGTGAAAACTCATCATATGAAATTTAAAAACTTTCTTCATACGTCTTTAAAAAAATTTAATGGGGTATTTTAATGTGATAAAAAAAATTCCAGTACACTTCCTAGGTGGAGTTGTGTAACAGTGCTTAAATAACTCTAGATTTGCTTGTTGGGACATGAGTGAGTGTGTCAGGCACGTTTATCACGCTCAGGCTAAAGTTTACATCAGTGTTTTGACGTCAAAAACCAAAAGACAAAAAAAACCACTGTTTGCAACCATTTTAGCCTATTTTTTTTAACTTTCACTTTAACTCCAAAAAATAATAATAAAGAATTTTATTATCTCTGCCATTACTGAATAAAAAGACAGAAAACCCTCTGCTTTAATGTTCCCAGTTTAAGCTTCTATATCAGCCCTCACTGATAGATGAGGGCTTCCTGACAGTCACTGTTTTATATTTAACTAAAAAGGGAAAGATTTATCATAAATTTAAGCATATTACAAATGTCTCAAATGGCTTTTACAGATTTAGGATATTTCAGTACAGTTTTGAAAGGATGAAATATTTTAGATAAGGAAGACAGATTGTAAATCTAAAATAAGCTGCTGTGAATGGATCCAAATGTCACAAGCTGGGAAATGACTGGAGCCAAATTAGATCTGTCTAAATCTGTGATCTAAAGTCAAAATTCCATCTTCAAAAGCTGGATTTTTTGGTTAGATCAAGAAAAACCTTTTGATAGAGTGGATTATTTGTTTAGGACACTTCAAGATGCAGGTTTGTGGAAAAAACAATATTTCATGCTTTGAGTTGCTGTTTTGTTGAAGATAGGAGGGGACTCAGCAGACCAGTCCCTGTCTGGAGAGTCATTAGGGATGGTTGTCTGTTACCTGCCATGCCGTATGCTCCTGCTCCTGCCTTCACATACACTGATGCAGGAAATAGAGAAGAGACTGGTTGCCTTTTTTGGCAACTTTTACCAAAGCACTTTTGTTACCTCTGTGGGAAGGTGGACAGCGACTCATTGACATAAAAAATTGCATTAGGTCTTTTTGTCTTCAGACTGCTCAGCATTTCTTATACCCCAAACCACAGATGTGGATCGAAATGATGACTGGTACGGACATCTCAGGGATTTCATCCTTCTACCACTCTGAACCAAAGTGTTATGTGTTAAAAGATTCTGCTCTGAGTTTTATGCCAGCAGGGGGAAGACCCCCTGTTCTTCAACCCTCTTATTCAGTCTAGCTTGCTTGGTTCTATTAGCATCAATAATTGTAGCATTTGTTACCATGCAAAGAGTCCTAGCAACATCTGACCTGACAAAACTGGCAGTGCTGAGATCAGGAGAGCAGCAGAAAACTGCTGCTGTCTTCAGCCGGTTCTGCCAGTTCCTAAGTCATTGTCTGTCCTACGGAAGTTGGTGGAGGAAGTGGTGGCTGCCCTTCCTGGATTCGTTTGGCAAGTGCCTAGTGTGGGTTTTGCAGAGACTCACTAGCCGCCACCCCCCGTGTCCTATGTTCATAATATTTTTAATAAACGTGGGCGCAAGAGAGAGAGGAAGACATCTTACAGTGAGTTGAAACAATAATTTGTTATTTATTCTTGCATATACAATTTTTCTCATTCGTATTGTGTCACTTTGTATGTCACTCACAATTTCCATCACCTCTTCCCATTCGCTGAGCCCCTGCACGGTTCGGCTTTGGTATGCCACCCCAATATTTTTAGTGGCTCCCATGGCCACCCCTATGAAAAAAATCCAGGGGGCCTTGGATCTCTAGTTGAGGATAGCGCACAGGTGAGTTACCACAAATAGACATATGGCGCTTAATTAAAGCCAAGTGTATCGTATCTGCTACATGTGTTTTTGTGAGTTTTTGAGACTTCTACATCATCAGCATGACTTTTTTTTACCCTCAAAAAATGATCTAAATTGCATGAAACATTTTTAATGACTAAATTGCAAAAATATGGGTTATGTAGCAAATGTGATACAAATTAAAACTCATATGCAGATTAAAATTTGATATATTTTTATATATATTTTGTCTTGGGGTTCAACAAACACTCCATTATCAAAAGATGAAGATTTCTGGCAGTTATTTCATGGTTTGGGTTTTAAAGGGACGTAGTCACTGTAAATATGGACTGGTTCTTATATCTAAGCTAACTGAGCTCTCAAAGTGATTTACACAACTTGACTCATTCACACCAGCACTTTTTTTAAATACTCTTTCTGTCTAAGTGTTTCTATCTAACATTCACACATATTCATATTCTGATGGCTGCATTGGAGAGCAACTTGGGGTTAGTACCTTTCCAAGGATATTTGGCAAGCAGACTGGCTATCTGCTCTACCACCTGTGGCTCAGGTGGTAGAGCAGACAGTCAAAGATTATAAGCTTGTATTTTTTTCAAGCTGAGGAGACCTTGCAACATTTGTGGTTTGGATGTCCTAAACTAGTTCCTCTCTTTACATCTCCCGTGTCCTATGTTCATAATATTTTTAATAAACGTGGGCGCAAGAGAGAGAGGAAGACATCTTACAGTGAGTTGAAACAATAATTTGTTATTTATTCTTGCATATACAATTTTTCTCATTCGTATTGTGTCACTTTGTATGTCACTCACAATTTCCATCACCTCTTCCCATTCGCTGAGCCCCTGCACGGTTCGGCTTTGGTATGCCACCCCAATATTTTTAGTGGCTTCCATGGCCACCCCTATGAAAAAAATCCAGGGGGCCCTAGATCTCTAGTTGAGGATAGCGCACAGGTGAGTTACCACAAACAGACATATGGCGCTTAATTAAAGCCAAGTGTATCGTATCTGCAAACAAAAACTAAGATACACTGATTTAGACAGACTAATTTGTTTGGTAAGAATGCCTTTAGTCCACTCTGCCACTTGGTGGCGACAATGTACCATTGAATTGTTTGCCCATCGCTAGTAAAATGAACAGGAAGAAGAAGGTAGGCTAAGATCATACATGATAAGATCAATTATTAAGGTAGACTACATAGAAAAAAAAATCTCAGAACAGGAAAAAAATGCTTAATTAAATACAGGATATATAGTAAAATTGAAGGAGCTCAGTAAGCAAAATGTCAAAGCAAAAACTGAATAAAATACCATTAAATGGCTCTAGTAAGTAACTCCAATGAGTTTAGCCAGATGACTCAATGAATTGGATTAAGAAAAATAAGAAAATAAAAGTAGTTTACTAAATATATAAAATAAATGTCAGAAACCCAACAAATTTCTCACCGTAACAGAGTGAAACGTGTAGGAGACACTGCAATAAAGTGGCTTAATGTGCACACAATGTGTTGGATTGGGCAGAGTTTAAATAAACTCATATCAGAACAGAAATCTTGCATTGTAAAGATTTATTGCACAAGGTATCTGTGCTTGGATCAGCAGAGTCTGATAGATAAAGTGAGCTGCCTGTCCAATAAGTTGGGCAGAAAGTTATCAGGGTTATGATGGTTAATGTCTGTTTAGTTGCCAATCACAGAACCGGCTGTACTGATCAGTGTGTAGCCTGTCGGTGTCATCGGCTCTATTCTGACTCGGGGTTTATTACAGAACACCGCGTTGCACGGAGCTGAGGAACAGTGGTTGATTTCTGACTATTTTCACAAATAACATTTTGTGAACTTTGCTGTATGTTGTGGTGAGAGACTGTTATTGTCTGTTATTTATCCCTAGTTGAGTGGATTACCAGATATTTAAAGAATATATCAGCCACAAATATAAATTGGGAATAAAAAATTTATTTCAGATTGTTAGATCATTTAAATACTTGTTTGTAAAAACAAACAACCAAACAAATAATTAACATCTTGCAATAGCATAAATAGATGAATAAATACATATATAAAAGCATCAACAGTATGTTAAATTATTGATTAATAACTACACACCAGATGCTCAGAGAGCACAATGATGCTACCTTGTGATGTAACTTTACATCATTAATTATTCCAATTTATGTACCTAGCACATACTTTAAGAAGGTCAAACTGGAGCGCAAATAGAGCTCCAAAATTCATCTTGGGAATCCTTAATGGGTTTTAACTCTGGCGCTGGATGTTGAAGCTTCTGTAGCGTGGGGCGGTCTCCTGACACACTTCCACCACCTGGTCGTCGTCCTGCGCTGTGCTGATGTACCAGTTGGGGCAGCGGACAGACATGAGAGAGCTGATGCTGAGCCCAGTGTCGCGTTTATAGAAGAGA